TATATATATATATATATTGTTCATAAAATGCGATTTGTATGAATATATCGTATTATCTTATTACAATAAGATTGGGTCGAATTCCATCAGCTCATTGATCCATGGAGATCTTTAATATTTTCTATTATTCGCACTTGAAATTCTCGTAAAAAGATGTGACAGGAAATTACTGTCAGATTGGATTTGTTTATATAAATATCAAATCAATGGAAGAAAAATTTTCTACGTGCGTTTATGTAAAAGTAATGCATGAAAGAAGATGAATTGCGAGAATAACAATTCGCACACAAGAAAAATCTCATCGCTCATTGTTCAGGAGAACAAGTGGATTCTATTTGATGACACTTACTCATCGGAAATCAATACGTCGACGACTTTCTGCGAGAAATTAAAGTAAATTGTTTTCAATAACGTTACGTAAGATGATTAATGGAACACTAAATTATGCTGTTCTTTTTAATTCTTATGTACTTTCCCGGTATTCTAAAATTGCCTAGAATTTATTCAAATGAACAATTAACAATTACAATTTTTGATTAATGGTTAATGATCAGTTTTCTAATCATGTCTCATATATATATATATGTATGTACATATCACCAAAAAACTTAATAAATTCCTCATTTTGCATCAGAAGGAAAATAAAACTCAACTTTTAACCACTAAGAAGAATTTTTAATCTTCTCTTTTATATTTTAATCTCATTATTAGTACTAATGGAAAATGTTTAAAAGAAAGTCTGCAAGTGTCAGTAGACGATGAAGTACTTAGCGATCGAAAATCATATCAAAATTGATATTCTTGTTTTTAATCTCTATGTTTCCCACGCGATCAACCCATAAGGATAGATGCAAATCCTACATCATTCTCCCTGAGGGTAAATCTGGGCCAATCATATGGTATCGAAAGGATGGCCAAAGTGAGAGAGAGGATGCAAAGGTTTAGAACAGAGCAGCTCGCAGGAGCAGTAATATCGATCGATCCAGAATGGAGCTCGACAGGTCTCGGTTTCCTAATGCGTGGGTGAGAAAAAGAGAGGGAGAGGGAGAGGGAGAGGGAAGGGGGGAGAGAGAGAGAGAGAGAGAGAGAGAGAGAGAGAGAGAGAGAACAGGAGAATGAGGAGAATGAGGAGAGTGTCGAGGGTTGAGTTCTCTGGAGAGGCGAAGAGGGCATGTAGCAAAAGCTATCCTATAATCAGTCAGACAGGCCGATCAGCTGCCCGGGCATGAATCGCTCTCGCGCTACTCAATCAGTCTTTCACATACACTTATTCATTCGCTTGTGTTTATTCATCTTTGGTCTTTTTTTTTTTTCTTTTCGATCTTGTACCTTTTTTCATTTTCTTCTTATATTCTTTCTTTCTGAACTTCTGATTCCTGTTACTCTTGTAACTATGGTTCGGATCTGCCACTCATCGGTCTTGTTGTATAATAAGTATACAAGTGACAAGTCTGACCTTGGCGAATTACACTGTTAAGGTAGGTCAGTGCTGTCGGCAATTATCAACTATATGATAACCGATGTTGTTCAACTTGTTCTCGGCGTATTTAAATGGATACAAATATGAACGTACGATTTTGGATGATAAAGATAAAAGTGTTATTTTAGATCGGGATTCATGGATGACTGATTTATTCATTTTTATATTAGTCATCGTTCAATTTTAATGTTAGTCTAAGTGATTCTTTGTCCGAAATCGGGATTAAAAAATGACAAAAGGAATATAAATTTTATAAAGTTAAAGTTGGTGAATCTGAACTTTAACCCAATAGATTGATTTGGAAAAAGTATAGAGCTGTTTTTCTTTAATGTTGAAGAGTTTTTGATGTGTTATTAAATAGAGAGAGAAAGAATATAAAAAAGAGATATATGTCTTTTTATTATATAATTGCATTTTCAATTAATGTGCATGTTCGACACATATGCAAAGCTTTTTTTATCTATTATAGATTTTATATATCTTTTCTTATTGATATTTTTTTTAGTATCTGCATACATTATTATACCGATATATTCTACGCTAAATTAACGAATATAAACGATATTAAACGTGTAATTATTCGTTATCAGATGCTAATTTAAAGCTTCTAAATCAATCATAAGCAATTAAAATTACATAATTAATTTTTTGCATTTCTAAAAAAACGATATTTATAAGGTTGATACATAAATACTAAGTACATAATTAAATTTGTGCGAGATTTCACTCTAGATTTAAAATCCCAATAAACACGCGCAATTGTTTGTAGTTTATTTTTCTTTGGCGAATAAGTCAAAAACGCAATTTTTGTTTAATTCAATCAAAGAAAAAAGTTTTACCGTTTACATATGTATGTATCAATTGCATGATTGAATGAATATGCATTTATGTAATAGTTAACGCGATAATAACGATTAGAGCACAATTAGTGTTTAACAGTGTACAATGATTTTAAACATAGAGATAATAAAAAAGGATGCGAATGTATCGTTCGTAAGAAAGTTTTGTTTTCTTGTAGTCTTTATGATAAATGAAGATAGGCTTTTGTGTTCAATGGTAGATAAATTTAATGAAGCTAAGTCAGTAACGTAATCAGTAACAAAATAATATTCAGTAAAAAAACTTGTACACAGAACAAGAAATAGATGCATAAAAAGTTTGCTCATCAAAGAAAATTAATAATTTACATTGAATTTTATGAGCGCGAGTGGTAATCGAGAAAACAAAGAAATAATTAATATCACGGAAATATCATATCAAAAGATCATATGTTTAAAGAATGGAAGAAACATCTTCAAGATTACGTCCTTACGTGGACTGGGATGTAAGTAAAGCTTACTTAATAAATATTTTAGATAGTATATCACGCGTAGTAGTATATCGTGAGAATGTGTGAAGCGTTTAAAATTATTAAGTATTATTAAAATATAGTTGTTGATTTTTTTTAGAACGAGAATAAATATTCAATAGCGAATAGTCAAGCACCCTTGCAGAGTGGCGAAGACGAACACTCGAAACGCGGAACTTGGACAGGAAAATTCGATTTTCTTTTGTCTCTTTTGGGATATAGCGTGGGTCTCGGAAATGTCTGGAGATTTCCGTATCTTTGCTACTCGAATGGCGGCGGGGCTTTCCTGATACCATTCATCGTGATGCTCATCACCGCCGGATGGCCTCTTATGTTCATAGAACTTTCCTTAGGTAATTAAAGAAATCAATGGAACACTTTGAGATTCGTAATACTATTTGCGCTATCATTACATA